CAAATCAGCTGCCTATAATATATATTTAATTGAAAATACAAACCTAATTAATTTTCCATTCTTCTTTATAAACAAGATTTATAAGCTATTCTTATTTCAATTTTGGGACTTTATTATACGGACGGACCTAATCATTGGATGATGATTGAACTTTCATCATATTTGTTACTATTTAATTATTAAAATCAAAAAGATTAAATTTGTCTATATAAATACTTAACTCGTAAATAAAAATTTATATGAAGGCTTTTAAATATTAAAGATATTTTATTATAATTAAGAAAAATTATAATATTACGTGTTTTGTTAATATATTTTACAAATATTTGATTAATTCTATTCTATATTCTCATCTAAAATCTTAGATAAGCCCATCACTGAAAATATGGTATAATAATATAAATTATGTGGTAATATACTTTAGTATTCAACCAAACTCTATATACTCTAGGTATAATTCCTATAAACATAATTAATGTTGTTATTCCTGCTATTATAACCTTTTAAAGCAAGTATGATGTGGATAGTGCAAATTTCAAGTGTTCAGAATCAAACTAAATTTATTGAGTTTTTGAAAATAAAAAAGTGACCTCTTCCAAGCTTATCAATTTTAGAAGTCTAATTCAATTTTGAATTGTTAATTGTCGATAAATCAGTGTTTTGGAATGAATTTGATAAGTAATGGAAGAAAAGTAATTTTCTTTTTATTTTTAATAAAAAAATGAATTTTCTTAGGATTGAACTTATCAGGATATTTTAATATTTCATTATTATTTTTAGTCATCACTTTTGTATAATAAAAAATTTGTAATTTTCAGATAGAGACTTGTAATATCAAATTTACATCAATTTTTTAAGATAGATAACATAATAATATATATTTTGACAATATTAATTAAAAACTTAAAAAATTATAATGCCTTAATAAATAAGACTTAATTTCAAATTGTAAGGTTGATGCATGTAAGACATATATATGGTATTATATATTTGTTCATAAACTAAAGATACAATCATTTAATTCATGAAATAGTATTATTAGAAAAGAATATTTTTTAACTATGAATTAAACCCTAAATCAAGAATTATTAATTATTTTTCTGTGGAAAATGATTAAGATATTTGTGAAAATACTATGCATAATTTTATTTTTGGTTTATTTCTTCAAGATTTATCAAATCAGTTTAATAAGAAATTTATCCTTAAAATCAGTAGACGTTTTGATTTTATTTACTAATTCTATATGATTATTATATTTACAATATATGGAAATTAAAACATGTTTAATGAATTTTGTTAAAAGAGTATCATTCTAGTAATTTTAGTTATTAATATAATTATAAATATTCTAAGAATATAGATTATTTAAATTTATATCCATATATATATATAAGAAAATAAATCATAAATACAACACAATTAAATTTTTGCTTTTGGTTGAAGTTATCCATCTTCCTAAACGATGTTCCTGGCTCTCAACAGTTAAAATTTTATCATCAAATACATTAATATGATTGATTATTCCAAACTAGATTAATTATATTGATAATCATACACTTTATAGTGATCTCACTTTTACAATGTCCTTATTTGTTACTTTATAAATATTTAGATTATCATCATAAGATCCTGAAATCAAAAGGTCACTGTTATAAATAGTTCCCTAATTAATTATGGATATTATTATTACCAAAGAGGTTATCCATCTATTACCATGAGGTTAATGTAATTCAAATAATGGCTTTCTTTTTTTTACATTCCATAAATTGATGTTAGTATCAATAGAACCAGTAGCAAAAGTATCAAGAGTTATTGCTCTAATGCAATCAATAGATTATTCATGTCCATTATAAAGTAGTTATCCTCCTGATTTTGTTTTCCATTGTATCATTTATCTATCATAACCACAACTTAAAAAATCATCAGCATTAAAGCAATCGATGTCATTTGCTTCTGTACTATGTCCAAAACTTATAAATTACTTGTAAATATTACAATGTATCAATATAAGCTCTTTATGCTGCATCCCATTAAATAAATGTTCTATCACAAGAGATACTGCAAAGATTATTAGAATTATATCCAAATTTAACACCATAAATAGGTGCTTTGTGATGTTTAAGAGTTTCAATCAATTTATTTGAATTTGTATCCCATAATTTAATGGAATGATCTTTACCAGCACTAGCCAATATTTTGCCATCAAAATTTAAGGAAATAGTGAGGACTTCATCATAATGACCATCTCCATGTTTACCAACTTCTCTCTATATGAATTCTTTTTTCTTAGTTTCTAAATCCCCTAAAATTAATATATATAATTCTAATTACATTTGATAATGCTTGAATCTTTAGAACAAGAATACATGTGTTTTGCAAATTCATCAACTTAAGTACAAGTGATTGCTCTAAGATGACCTTTATAGATTTCTCTATTAAATTATCTATCAAATTTTTATATTTATGTTTAATATATGGTGTGTTTTTCAGCAAACTATGATAAGATTGATAAAGTTTACTTTCTCGAGTAAGGCTACATTTAATCTTTTGTCTTCATCATTCATATGAATGTCATGATGATCTTGAAAAAAATCATCATTTTTTTTGGATTACAATTCTTATTTGGTTTATTATAAAATTTATTTAGCCAATCTCAATCTTCTATTATCTTCAGTTTCATCAATTTCACTATCACTTTTATCTGAAATATTTTATGGTTTTTGATTTTCTAATTCATCCAAATATTCTGAATCTATTGATTCATCATCATCAATATTTTATTTATTGTTTTTATTGATGGTTTTGGTCTTTTTAATCTTTTTCACAGTCTTTTTAATTGTGTTTTTAGGCATACTTAAAATTTACAACAAATTAAATATAATTTAATTATTATATTAATATATAAAAAGTAAAAAAAATTCAATGTTTTTTTGTAATTTTTGAATTGTTGCTTATGGATTCTAAATGATTATCTATATTTAATTCCTATTTTAGATAACGAAGTTTCTTATAATAACGATTCTTAATCATATTCATTGTTTTGCCAGGGAAATATTTTACAATCTTATTAAAATTTGGTCCATATTCTAATACATACTTTAGGATATCTTTGTCTTCATCTTTAGTAAAGGTTTGTTTTTAATAAAATTGTTTCTTGTTTTGATTAGTAATAGATTGCTGAATGCAAATAGTCATAAGATGTTCAAGAGAGGACTCATCAAGAATAGGATTCCTAAATTATTGAAATATAAAACTGCATGAATTCCTCATCAAAAATAAGCAATTAATATTGATTGGTTGTCATCAATCTAATAATTTAAATAATCATCAGACATTTATTAATAATTATAATGTATCATAAATTTTATAATTCATTTTACAATCAACATAGTATTACATTTCTATCAATTAATTATAATATTTAAATATGTTTATATAACATATTCATAAATTATCAAACATTATATATACTTTTCATAAATATAAAATCGATAAAGCTTTTTGAATATATATTAATATAATGTGGAGGTGATTCTTATAATGTATCTATAGATTTCACTTATGGTTGATGTATAAAATTGAGTATTCAAATCAATACTAACGTTAACTTATATTAATTATAAATTAACCATCTCTTAAATATATTATCATTATTTTACAATTCATAAAGTCTTATTATTTCTATAATATCATAGGATTGCATCATTATTCTTATTTTATTGCTTAAGAACAAAGATTCTGTTCATATTCCAAAATTTTATAAAATCTATTAAGATTGAAAAGGATCACATAAATTCTATAAAATTTCTTAAGCAATTATAATTATCATTTATATATTTATTTCTATAGATTTTTGTTAATATATTTCTTTAATTAAATGAAGCTGGACTTAGACTTCTCATTACTGATCAATTGAAATTTGATAAATTTTTAATTACATCATTAGAAGTTAACTAAGCACTTTCAAATTACTATAAAATTAAATTCTTAGATTTGAATTATTATGGCTTATTTCTATAAACTTAAAATTTAAGTTATTTAGAATTATGAAAATGTCTTTTTATTTTCTGTTAATAAATAAAGTAATTTCTATAAATTTACATAGATTATTGTAATTCAATTTAATTAGTTTGAATTATTCGGAATTAATTATAATTTGTTATATAATCAAAGAAGATTTTATTCAAAAAATATATAATAAATGAAATAAGATTCTAAAAGACACAAAACATTATATTATAAACTTTCTTCTGAAATCAGACAAACCCTAATTCATTTAATATGCTTAAAGGGTTTGAAAATAAAAGAAGTTTACATACATTCTATTTTTAGGCTGCATAGTAATTAAACATCAAGTATGCAAAGGCAAAATTCATATTCTATTACTATAGAAATAACATGATTAGAAATAAATAAAACTTAGATTAATCTAAGAGATGCATGTATAAAACCATAACAAAAGAGATTATAGTTTTTCGAATAATCAGCTAAATTGCAGGTGAGTATGTAAATTCAAAAATAGTATAATAAACAATGACTCAGAGTTTGATGTGAATTTATTATACATATTTTTAATTATCTATACTTACTTGGTTATCATTTCATAAAAAAATAATGAATCATAAAAAAACAAAGGTATCTAAAGAAATTTAGAATTAATATTAAAATTAAAGTTAAAATGATTTGAATTAGATGATAGATATTTTTTGTAATTTTAGAATGCACAAGTGGAAATATTATGTAGAAAAATTGAAATAAATTTATTAATATTAATTTGTGAAATTATTCGATTTAGCTTATGAATTCTTACATCAGTTTTTCAATAAAGAGTTGTTGAATTTCTTAAATTTATTTGATTAGAAAATAAAGAGAATATTATTAATTTACTACTCTAGATGAAAGTGAATATATATTATGAAATTATAATTAATGTTGAATTTTGTAATTTATGATATAATGTTTAACATTTTCATTGGTTCATTTGATCCAATTATTAAATGTCACTGGTATATTTGATAGGTATATTACTATAATTATTGATACCTTTTTTATAAATGATAATTATCAATTTTCTGATAAAAATTAGGTTGAATAAATTATTAATAATTATTATTTTAATTAGAATACTAGTGATTTTAATCTATAGTATTCTCAAACTTATAATATTACTAATATTATTGTTAACCTACTTATTATTATAAGTAATTATATCCATATGGGACTTAAATATTTTATAGAGGTGTAAATAACATAATTGGATTTTATGGAATCTAATTATAATTAGTTATGATTTGATCATTTATTATTTCTTATTATTATTGTAATTAATTTGATTAACTTTCATATTCCTATTTTTCAATTTTCTAGTAATTTTGAGTTATATTCTATTATTTAATCTATACTTAAGCATTTTCTTATTTGATTTAATGTTATTATTGATTGTTCTTCTTGGATCTAGTAATTCGTTAGAATATTGATGGACTGACATCTTAAAGCTAACATTTTTTGATTTAAATAGAATCATTAATCAATTTATAAGGTCTTTACTTTTTCTTCTTTTTATATTTATTTATATTGTAAGACTCTTAAGAATCTTCAGAATCCTAGCTTTGATCCTCAAAATCTAATTCTTTTTGAAACCTTCTTCTCAAAGTTGCATAAAAACGATTTTTTACCATATTCTCCTATTGAATATTATAATATTCATTTATACAGGTCTTCCATTAAGTAAACTAGATATGTAACTCCATTTCGTTCCAAACTTTTTGTACAATTTCAAAATCATCTTGTCTTCTTAATCTGTCCATTTTTCATAATTTATGTGCATCTATAATTGATTTAGATACCTTTCTCTAACTTGCTTTCCTGTTCTCCAATTCATCACTGTACATATCTTACTCCATTTCTTTCCGTACATCTTAACAAGCTCCTTCAATTATTCATCTTCTTCCTATGACCATAATTATCTAGAAAGAGTCTTAATTTTAAGATATCAAAAATATACTTGTTTAGGATTTAGGCTTTGCCATTTTATCATACATTCTAAAGGACTTGGTCCATTCAATTATTAGCTAATAGATTTCCAATTTCCTTAAAGGATATGGAATTATTGCTTAAGTTGCTCTACAGCAATATCGTTCCATTGATAAACAGACTTTTATAAATAGTTAAATAAAAAATGAACCTTAAATACAACATCTTTATTATCTCTTCTTTGATTCTGGTTATAAGTTGCACTAACCTCAGATATTAACATATATTTTTTAAATATTAGATAATTTTCAAGACTGAATATTATTTTAATAGTATTAGATGAACAATTAAACTAAATATATATAAGTAAATCTTTCTAGGCAAAAAACATCAATCGATAATTTTAATTAACATTAATGTTGTCAATTAAGCATATGAATACATATAAATACATATAAATACATATTAAATTAATCAAAATATAATAATAATCATATTACCTTAATTATATTAGTATAATGTTATTATACATGAACATTCATAAATATTAATGAATATATTTGAACAAATTAAAATTTATATTATAATAATTTACATTAGTATGTCAATCAAATTTGGTAATTTTATAATACACTAAATATTCTTATGTGAATAGTTTCTAATAGTAAATAATCATATAATTATTTAAATTAACTAAATTATCAATTCCAGTCTAAAAAATTTCTTAATTTGTATAGCTAAATAAAAAGAAAAGATGAATTACTACTTCAATATTTAGTATAATTATTCAATTTATCTATTCTAGTTAAAAATACAATTTAACTTAGTTTTCNTATTCTCCTATTGAATATTATAATATTCATTTATACAGGTCTTCCATTAAGTAAACTAGATATGTAACTCCATTTCGTTCCAAACTTTTTGTACAATTTCAAAATCATCTTGTCTTCTTAATCTGTCCATTTTTCATAATTTATGTGCATCTATAATTGATTTAGATACCTTTCTCTAACTTGCTTTCCTGTTCTCCAATTCATCACTGTACATATCTTACTCCATTTCTTTCCGTACATCTTAACAAGCTCCTTCAATTATTCATCTTCTTCCTATGACCATAATTATCTAGAAAGAGTCTTAATTTTAAGATATCAAAAATATACTTGTTTAGGATTTAGGCTTTGCCATTTTATCATACATTCTAAAGGACTTGGTCCATTCAATTATTAGCTAATAGATTTCCAATTTCCTTAAAGGATATGGAATTATTGCTTAAGTTGCTCTACAGCAATATCGTTCCATTGATAAACAGACTTTTATAAATAGTTAAATAAAAAATGAACCTTAAATACAACATCTTTATTATCTCTTCTTTGATTCTGGTTATAAGTTGCACTAACCTCAGATATTAACATATATTTTTTAAATATTAGATAATTTTCAAGACTGAATATTATTTTAATAGTATTAGATGAACAATTAAACTAAATATATATAAGTAAATCTTTCTAGGCAAAAAACATCAATCGATAATTTTAATTAACATTAATGTTGTCAATTAAGCATATGAATACATATAAATACATATAAATACATATTAAATTAATCAAAATATAATAATAATCATATTACCTTAATTATATTAGTATAATGTTATTATACATGAACATTCATAAATATTAATGAATATATTTGAACAAATTAAAATTTATATTATAATAATTTACATTAGTATGTCAATCAAATTTGGTAATTTTATAATACACTAAATATTCTTATGTGAATAGTTTCTAATAGTAAATAATCATATAATTATTTAAATTAACTAAATTATCAATTCCAGTCTAAAAAATTTCTTAATTTGTATAGCTAAATAAAAAGAAAAGATGAATTACTACTTCAATATTTAGTATAATTATTCAATTTATCTATTCTAGTTAAAAATACAATTTAACTTAGTTTTCAAAAAAAAAATTATTTAAATTAAGAATTACAAGAAAATGGAAATTATTACCAAATTATGGGAAATATTTATAGATTCTATTCTTCTAGAATTATAATAACCTAATTATAAACTTAGTAACAATTAAATATATTTGTATTATATACTGTCATTTAATTAACCTTTTTTTTAGAATTTAGACAGCTATCATTTTGATTATTCAACATCATTTAAATAAGAAAATTATGAATTCCTCAGATTTAATCTAATATTTAATAATTAATTATTACCAAATATGATTTAATTATGCCCTTGTTTATATTTGAATTCAATAATATCTATTTCTAATGGATGTACTCATTTGAAAGATATCTCAAATAATATATTATTCTACATAACTGCTTAACTATTGCTATATAGTTAATATAATATGTAGAATAATATATTATATTATTTAGGACTCTAAATAAATTTGATTAAATTTACAGATTTACTACAACTTCAAATCTTAAATACTAATAGACAATAGATATAATTTGTACTAAAAAAATGAATATATTCTAAAACTGAAATCAATTCAAAAATTTTATTAATTATTTACTTAATTAAGATAATAGTAAAATTCGTTTAAGAAAATTTAAATTAATTAGCCAATGGAGGAAAATAACTAAATAATATCTCAGTTCTGTATAAATTTAGTATCTCTTCATTCCTTTTTGGTAAGAGTGATATAAAAATGAAAGTCATAGGTTGTTAAATAATTATTAAAGATTATTCAGCTATTATAAGGATATATAATTTTATATTGTTTAGCAAAGATGTAGAAGCAGAATAATAATTACTATTCATAGAAATTTAAAAAATTAATAAATTTATTAATTATTATAAATTATATAAATGAATATATAATTACTAATATCAGTAAATTAGCAACATTATAGATCAGATCAAAAGATATCATCCAAATTGATATGCTACTATGGTTATTAAGACCTTCTTATGCGTTTCTTTTTGCTTTTCTTCTTTGTACCATTCTGTGAATAGCTATTTCTCTATTAATGTTGGACAAAATGAACTTTCTTTGAATTAGCATATTGAGAAAATGGTGACAATATACTTTATTACTTCAAACAAGATTTTATAGAATTAGTTTCTGATTTTTTGTTTGTTCCTAATGAATTACAATGACAATTAACCCAGTGTTTCATTACAGTTATATTATCTTCAGGATATATTTCTTTTTGCTTTTGCACATTAATTTTTAAATAAGCTATTTCATCATGGATTTAATCTAAAGATATTTCACTTTCTTAGATATCATCAGATGAGAAAGATGAAATTGAATCAATAGGAGTATTTTAAACTAATGATATTGAACAACCCATAAATTAATAAATATAATTAAAAAAATAAGAATTTTTGAAATTATATGTTTATTTAATGAACCATTAAGACTTTAATAATATAAATAAATAATATAAAGTTGTGAATTACATTTTCTCATGATTATTATAAAAATTTGATATTCTCCAATCTTTTATTATCATGACCAGACCATAGATATGGAGATTCCCATGCTAATCCACCTACTCCAGATCCATTATCATAGATTTCCTTAATTTTACGAAAAGTATCCAAAGACCAAAAACAAATCTTTCCTTCTCCATTCTTTGTACTTAATCCAATAACTAAGAAATTGAATTATTAAATATATAATGCACTACTAATTTCATAATCATCTCTAAGTTCTTTGATTACTTAAAATGATTATTAATTCAATAATTTAATGATTCCTTCTCTATCAATAGTTATTATATATAATTTAGTCTATAAAATGATTAAGATAGGTGATTCATGTAATTATATAAAATTTGTTTATTATAATTATGGACATTAATGAACAATTAAGATACCATCACCTCCAACAAAGAGTTTTTCATTATATATAGCTAATGAATAGATACCAAAATCAAATTTTAATGAATAAATTTCTAACATTTTATCTAAATCCCAAATTTTTATACTTTAATCTTCACTTCCAGATAATAACTATTTAGGATTTAAGAAATCTAAACATGTTATTGTTCCTTAATGTCCTTTTAAATTACCAATTAATTACCATCTTGGATGATGTTTCCATACTCTAATCACTTTATCTTAACCACAAGATGCCAAAGTATCAAATTTAAATTTTATATTAACAATCTCTCTTGTATGTCCTTCTAAAGTTGCTATCATTTTTCCATTTCCTTTATCCCAAGCTCTAATTAATTTATCATAAGAACTTGTAAAAATACATAATTATCCTACTTGTAATTATGATATTCTTTTATCATGAGCTTTAATTGAATATTATTTTTCTGTTTTTGGAAATAAATTGGATCTACTTATTAAAGAAGAACTAGTATTTTATTATTATCTAATTTATTCTTATTATTTATCATTTATAGTTCTTTTAAGTTATTCTCCAAATAATAATCCAGATTAAAATTAATATGGTTTATTAGATTAATCAGTTTTCATAGATTATGGTGTTAAGGATCTATCAGTTTAATAATTTTAACTTTGATCTAAATATTATACTTATTTATTTTCTATTGAATGACTTCTTGAACTTTGAGTAGCATTTTTAGATTGTGTATTTTATCTTGAATATTCAATTTATTTATTTTAAGGTGAAATTGTTTAATTTGAATTATTTAATTGCATAGTTTAACTTAATTAATTATATTATTATTATGGAACATATTATTAATTTTATTAAGCATTTGTATATTCATATTTTTATTTTTAAACTTAAGTAGTTTATTAAATTATTTAAGTATTATTATAATTATTTGTGAATTCTTTTTATTATGAAAGTCTCTTAAAAATCTATTCTATATTATTTTGTAATTATAAAATAGATTACATCACTTACAATTGATTATAACTTTATATTACATTATTTAATTAATCTTTAAATTGTTTACCATTATTATTTTTCAATTCAAATTATTTGCCATTGTAATTAATTGATTTTTCCAATAATAATATGACATTATCTTGAGCTTATCGATTAGTAATCTATCTTTATTCAATTTATTCAATTAAAGTTTATGCTTAATAGACATCTTCATTTAATTTCATTTATTGATAGGATTGCTGAAAAACAAAGTTTTGTATTTATTTAAATGTTTATTGTATATTCTTCAATACATCCATATGTAATTTTTCATATTGAGTAGTAATCTTTTTTTCCTCATGAATATCGTTAATTTTATTATTAATCTCTTATCTAACTAAAGTGAGGAATTATTGTAAAGGAACAACTTATTATAATGGTAAATTATCTTAATATATGCATTGTTAACAACATAATCCTTGTTATCTATGATTTATAAGAACATTAGACAATGCTTAATTTGGATGCTTAGAACACATATATTATTAATTCATTATTTTTTTTTATTGTTTATTTTAATTTTCTAATCCAATTCATCTGATTCATTAAACACTCTTTTCAATCCTTTCCAAATTCCAATTTACTTAACAGGAATTATCCTATTTTAACATTACTTAATTTATTCTAATTTTGTATTCACCTATTTAATATCCTCTGGATTTTATGCATCTTTTAATTATTTTTATAATCGTTCAGTCTCTTCATCAAAGAAATTCAAAAAATCACTCCTTTTCATTTTTTCATTTGTTGTAGTATCCTATCCAATCATATAGAGATGATACAAAGCAAAACATGTCAATGCAATACCCATTACAATACACAAAATTACTATAAAAATGTACATTGTATTTTTGTAGAACAAATACTATGCTATAATACCCCAAGTAGCTTATAATCTCTATTTTGTCACAGGATCTCTAATTTATTAACTTAATTTTATTACCTGAATTATGCTTCTAAAAGTTTCTCTTTTACTATAATCCCCTAAATACAACGGAAACCTAAATAAGCTCCATAATCACATAGTATAGCATGTGTAATGATGAATTTGACAAAGTATTTATAATTCTTCTATCCAACACATTATCTAATCCAAACACAATGATGATCAAATCTACTTACACATACATTGCATACTCTACAATGTTTGCTTCTTGCTGGCTTAATTATATTACATGTTTTGCATTCATTATCTTTAGTGTATACTACATTATCATAATACTCCTTGAATTCATTCACATAAACTTTATTATTCTCCTTATTTATTATCCCTGGTCTATATCGACATGCTTAAAAAAAAGAATAGAAACAAAAAAGTGCCATTGTTGATCCTATTGCTGTATCCAAATGAGATACAAAAGGATTATTTTCAAATAGTTCAAGAAATCCAAAATATAAATAAACCAAATATCCTCCTACTGCAACCAATACATAAAATATTTAAACTAATGGATGATTTGAATAGAAGAAATAATCTATTCCTCTTTTAAATACTCTGAATATACGCTCTCCCAATATTTTTCTAATCATTATACTTTATTCTTTACTTGATTATCATTGGAATTGTGTTAAATACAAATCTATTCATTTTACCTAATAATCCTTATGAGTTGGGATCTACACATACTAATAAGTATAAGGATGCACCTACTATTAAAAATAATAAAGTTATAATTGCTAGGTATTCCATTACTAAATTAATTATATATATATAATGGGTTGTGGAGCTCAAAAATAATCTTAAGGTTTATCACCTCAATTAAGATAAAAAGCATTAGAAATTTTCAAGAAAATAGATGTCAATAATTCTGGTTCTATTGATAAGGATGAGACTCAAAAGTTTTGGAAAACTAATTTTGCAAAAGTGAATACTCAAGCATTATTTAATGCAGTTGATTTTGATAAAAGTGGTTAAATTACAGAAGATGAATGGATGGCCTTCTGGGAAATAGTAAAAAAGAGTGGATATTCTGATAAAGAAATTTTTGAAGAGGTACACAGAATATTAGACAGTATTAGTTGGACAATTTAATGGAAGGTAAAGCTTGGGTATAATTTCGTAAAGTAGATGAATTTGTTAAACGAGATTAAATGAGAAAAAAAAGTCAAGTTAAATAAATCGTTGAAGACAATTCTAAAAGAAAATCTATTCTTTAGCAAGAATAACATAATAATTGATATAAATATAATCTAAGTTTATATTTATATCATTTCTATAATATTTTTTAATACTATTTATATTTATTATTCCTCTTATTCTAAAAATATATATATATATCATAGATTTAATTATTATTTATATAAGAGTTTATTTAATGAAATTAGATTACTAATACATTTTTATCTCTATAAGAAATTAAAATATATTAAATTATTTAATTAATGAATCAAAGATTTAATAGTGTTCCTCGTTTAAAAATTACTACCTCATNAAGCTCCATAATCACATAGTATAGCATGTGTAATGATGAATTTGACAAAGTATTTATAATTCTTCTATCCAACACATTATCTAATCCAAACACAATGATGATCAAATCTACTTACACATACATTGCATACTCTACAATGTTTGCTTCTTGCTGGCTTAATTATATTACATGTTTTGCATTCATTATCTTTAGTGTATACTACATTATCATAATACTCCTTGAATTCATTCACATAAACTTTATTATTCTCCTTATTTATTATCCCTGGTCTATATCGACATGCTTAAAAAAAAGAATAGAAACAAAAAAGTGCCATTGTTGATCCTATTGCTGTATCCAAATGAGATACAAAAGGATTATTTTCAAATAGTTCAAGAAATCCAAAATATAAATAAACCAAATATCCTCCTACTGCAACCAATACATAAAATATTTAAACTAATGGATGATTTGAATAGAAGAAATAATCTATTCCTCTTTTAAATACTCTGAATATACGCTCTCCCAATATTTTTCTAATCATTATACTTTATTCTTTACTTGATTATCATTGGAATTGTGTTAAATACAAATCTATTCATTTTACCTAATAATCCTTATGAGTTGGGATCTACACATACTAATAAGTATAAGGATGCACCTACTATTAAAAATAATAAAGTTATAATTGCTAGGTATTCCATTACTAAATTAATTATATATATATAATGGGTTGTGGAGCTCAAAAATAATCTTAAGGTTTATCACCTCAATTAAGATAAAAAGCATTAGAAATTTTCAAGAAAATAGATGTCAATAATTCTGGTTCTATTGATAAGGATGAGACTCAAAAGTTTTGGAAAACTAATTTTGCAAAAGTGAATACTCAAGCATTATTTAATGCAGTTGATTTTGATAAAAGTGGTTAAATTACAGAAGATGAATGGATGGCCTTCTGGGAAATAGTAAAAAAGAGTGGATATTCTGATAAAGAAATTTTTGAAGAGGTACACAGAATATTAGACAGTATTAGTTGGACAATTTAATGGAAGGTAAAGCTTGGGTATAATTTCGTAAAGTAGATGAATTTGTTAAACGAGATTAAATGAGAAAAAAAAGTCAAGTTAAATAAATCGTTGAAGACAATTCTAAAAGAAAATCTATTCTTTAGCAAGAATAACATAATAATTGATATAAATATAATCTAAGTTTATATTTATATCATTTCTATAATATTTTTTAATACTATTTATATTTATTATTCCTCTTATTCTAAAAATATATATATATATCATAGATTTAATTATTATTTATATAAGAGTTTATTTAATGAAATTAGATTACTAATACATTTTTATCTCTATAAGAAATTAAAATATATTAAATTATTTAATTAATGAATCAAAGATTTAATAGTGTTCCTCGTTTAAAAATTACTACCTCATTACAAGTAGAATAAAATAGTATTGGCAATTCTCCAACTATTTTTCATACTCCAAGAAGATTAGTAACAGAATCAAACAAATAAAATTATTTTCATAAATTATCTTATTAAGACTAATGGAAATCAGAAAGATTAATTAAATATGTTAAACACAAAATAATTGATAAAGGAATCAATAAAAAATAAGGTTTTTAAGATATTTTTCTAATTAATAACTTTAAAGTATATAAGTATTACATACCATTATATTCCAAAATTGAAAATGAAAATGAACTCATTTCTGATTTTATTGAATAAAGTATGCATCTTAAAACTCTATTAAATTTAAAGTCCACTCCAAAAATTTGGACTCTCGAAGGCATTTAGATTAAAAATTTCCATTTGCCAAAATAAAAAGTATTTTATATAAATAACAGCTTTGATTTCTGGAATATGATTGCTCATTATAATTAATTTCATGGTTCCTTTTAAATGAACCTACTCGAATCACTCTATGATGACATCTCATAATTTAAAAATTCTTCTCAAATCTTTGATTATTTTTTTAGTGATATTAGCAAAATCAAAAATTATTTTGCTTCACAAATTAATAAATTACCTTACATACAAAATACATAATCAAAAATTGATTTAAATGATCATGAAATTGAAACAGCCTTTGCAATGTTAGATACTGAAAAATAAAAAACTAAAGTATAGATCTATGAATAATTAAATAAAGAAATGAATAGTAAATCAAATTACTCTTAAAAATCTAATAAACTAATTAGATTAAATATTAAAACTCGAACAAGATAATCAATTGAATAATAAATCTTATAAGAAAATATCACCAATCCTGAAGATCTATAGTAGTAAATTTAAGAATAAGTAGAATGTTCGAATCTATTCATACCTTCAACTTAAAATATTGAAATATCTTAAGTTAATAATCCATTTCAATTAAAAACAAATTTAAATGATAGATATTTTATGAAAAATGTAAATATTGACAAAATTTAAATGGATTACAAAATTACTAGAAGACAAACTATTAATTTTTTAACAATCTTTAAATGCTTATTAAATCGTGAACCACAACCAAGTAAATTATTAATATCTAAAGCCAACTTACTCTTGGCTTATCCATATTTAATGATGGAGGGATAATCATGTGGATATGATACATTTCTATTCATTAAAGAAACAAAGATGTCTAGGTTTAGTTTCGAAGAATTTGTAAAAATTTTCATTTAAGGAAAAGCATGAGTTAATTTATATCTCTAATCTAATATTCATTTTTTATTTACTCTTTCTTTTTCTTCTATTATTTTGTTCCTATCTTAATGAATTTTCAAATCTTATTGATATACATATATTTAGAGGAATAATATTTGCAATTGATTTGTTATAAAATAGATTTATGGCTACCTATTTTTGAAGAAGAAATGAAAGCTTGACTTCATTCCTTAGATAAATTTGATTTTCTGGTTTGGATTATGTCTTGAGGTCTTTAGTCTAATTTCAATTTATCATAATAACTAAATAATCAATATCAAGATCATAGGATTATATAAGTTTCTTAACCAAAAATTATAATAAGATGATGCATTGAAAATAACGAAAATTAGAATAAGAATTTGATTAAAGAATACACAATAAAGGGATGTTAAAATGATAAGTATAGGACTAGTAATAATTAAATAATTGAAAATAATATGATAAAAATCTATAAATTAAATCAATTGTTTAAAAATTAAATATTGGATAATTGATTTAATATTAATTAATTAATTTATAATTTTTTAATAAAAAAAGGGTTGTCAACACGAGGACTTCCCAAGCGGTCCCCCACCTTAGTACTAACCTCGCCTTAAGCCGCTTAACTTCGGAGTTCGAATGGGATCCGGTGCTTTAGGCTTAGTATGGCCGACAACGATATTTACATCTCATCTCACTATTTATAATCTTTAAAAATGTTTTATTAAATTGAAAATGTATAATTTTAATTAATAATATAACTATTATTCTCAAAAATTAGAGTATGTTGGAATCTTTTGTTTGATAACTTAAAAGACTTCAGAACCCTAATTAAATATTCAATATACTCCATTATTTTCTAAGACTGTAAGAATTATTCTTATTTGTTCCCCAAAAACTTAATGATTTTATCTTTGCCAAATAGGAACAAGGAATAATTTGAGATATTTATTCAAATGAGATCCAACAACGTTTGATAAAGCCCTTAATTAAAGAGTAGATGTTACATCAAAGTTTTTAATGCAGAACCAAATACTTTATCACTTTTGGAACTTAATGCACTTCTTAATGGTAACACTAATTTTGGAAGAACTTAAATTATTTTTTCTTAAGCAGCCTTATTTTAATTTGAAGTTATTACTTCATTTGAAAGCATGAATTAAATGGCTGTTGTGGCAATTGCTAAATAAGGATGAACATCTTCTAATAATCCATTAAAACATGTAACTAATACTGGATCATATGGTAAGGTTTATATGTTTACATCTGGAATCCATTAGATTTTCATATTCCCTTGAGTATTATAATTTATTTTGCATGGGATTCCACCTGCTTCATAGACATAAGCAAATGAATTTCTAATTTTAATAATTTCATTTACATATCACGCTAATATTTATTAGAAAAAGGGTCAACCATTTTGATTTTCTTAGCTACTAATGGTTTCTTTTCGATCTTTTAATGTTTATATGCAATCATTATCTTTTAGGCCATATGAGGATCCACTAAACTATATTAGTAATTTTAATTGTAATCAGCAGCCACATAATTTCTATGTATTTGATTCAATCTTTATTCATTTGAATTTATTTTGGGACTCTATTTATACATCATATATTTAACAAAATTTAATATTAATACTATATATTCATTATAATTTTCTTTGAAGATAGTAACATAATGCCTTTATATCATGTTTCATTAGATATTCACTATTAACCCATCTATTCTTTGGTATTATACCTAATATAAATATATAAATAATTACCATTTGATCTCTTTTGCCATAATACATAATACATTTTTTCTCCTTTTTCTTTTGTTTATACAGCTTAACCAATTTTTTCCAATAAATCTCCAAACTCAAATCCACCTTCAGTTTATGATTTTATTTCAGTGATTTTTTGGGATTATTCTGATGAAGACTCTTAAATAAGTTCAGAATCCTGTTATAAAATAGGTTATAAACATTTTTGATTCTATTAATTTGTATTTATTAACTAAACAATTTCTTCTTATTATTTCTTCATTTGATCAATTTCTGATTTTAATTCATCTATCTAATTATTTAATTTGTTTATTTATTCTTATTGGTATAAATACTNTTTACATCTCATCTCACTATTTATAATCTTTAAAAATGTTTTATTAAATTGAAAATGTATAATTTTAATTAATAATATAACTATTATTCTCAAAAATTAGAGTATGTTGGAATCTTTTGTTTGATAACTTAAAAGACTTCAGAACCCTAATTAAATATTCAATATACTCCATTATTTTCTAAGACTGTAAGAATTATTCTTATTTGTTCCCCAAAAACTTAATGATTTTATCTTTGCCAAATAGGAACAAGGAATAATTTGAGATATTTATTCAAATGAGATCCAACAACGTTTGATAAAGCCCTTAATTAAAGAGTAGATGTTACATCAAAGTTTTTAATGCAGAACCAAATACTTTATCACTTTTGGAACTTAATGCACTTCTTAATGGTAACACTAATTTTGGAAGAACTTAAATTATTTTTTCTTAAGCAGCCTTATTTTAATTTGAAGTTATTACTTCATTTGAAAGCATGAATTAAATGGCTGTTGTGGCAATTGCTAAATAAGGATGAACATCTTCTAATAATCCATTAAAACATGTAACTAATACTGGATCATATGGTAAGGTTTATATGTTTACATCTGGAATCCATTAGATTTTCATATTCCCTTGAGTATTATAATTTATTTTGCATGGGATTCCACCTGCTTCATAGACATAAGCAAATGAATTTCTAATTTTAATAATTTCATTTACATATCACGCTAATATTTATTAGAAAAAGGGTCAACCATTTTGATTTTCTTAGCTACTAATGGTTTCTTTTCGATCTTTTAATGTTTATATGCAATCATTATCTTTTAGGCCATATGAGGATCCACTAAACTATATTAGTAATTTTAATTGTAATCAGCAGCCACATAATTTCTATGTATTTGATTCAATCTTTATTCATTTGAATTTATTTTGGGACTCTATTTATACATCATATATTTAACAAAATTTAATATTAATACTATATATTCATTATAATTTTCTTTGAAGATAGTAACATAATGCCTTTATATCATGTTTCATTAGATATTCACTATTAACCCATCTATTCTTTGGTATTATACCTAATATAAATATATAAATAATTACCATTTGATCTCTTTTGCCATAATACATAATACATTTTTTCTCCTTTTTCTTTTGTTTATACAGCTTAACCAATTTTTTCCAATAAATCTCCAAACTCAAATCCACCTTCAGTTTATGATTTTATTTCAGTGATTTTTTGGGATTATTCTGATGAAGACTCTTAAATAAGTTCAGAATCCTGTTATAAAATAGGTTATAAACATTTTTGATTCTATTAATTTGTATTTATTAACTAAACAATTTCTTCTTATTATTTCTTCATTTGATCAATTTCTGATTTTAATTCATCTATCTAATTATTTAATTTGTTTATTTATTCTTATTGGTATAAATACTAATTTTATTTTGATAAACTAGGAGCCCCAATAAAATCTTCTAATTGAGGTGGTTCATCATTTTCAATATGATAAAAATTAGATCCATATATTTTTACATTTTCTTCTAATTAATGTAAAAATTAAGCTAAATTTGGTATCTTTTCTGGTTTTTCCCAAGTACTATCTCTGTTATTGTATCCTTGCCATTTAACAAGATAATATTTCTAACCATTATATTATTTATAATCAAGTAACTCATCTATCATATATAATCCTCTCTTTTTTCTTGACATCAATAATTTGTTATTTTATAAAATTAATTATTTTCAATTTATATATTTATATCTAAAAAAATAAATGAATCAATAATTAGAGCTCTAACAATACTAGTTTTAAAACTTTGTGAGAAATAAATGAATTTTATATATGTCATTAATTTCCATTATAAATATTTGGTAATAAATTTTGATTGTTATTATGTTTTTACATTCTCATATATTCTTCTATTTCAAATGACATTTCTTCAGATTTCAATTTATATCCTTCAAAATTTTCATTACTAAAAATGTTTGGAAATTCATACTATTATTATTTCACTTAACCCATTCTCTAAACTTAAGGAAAAACAAATTTTTATCTTGTCACATGATCTGAAATAGATAATCCTCTCATTTCTTTAGGTTTATAATCTTTATTATTTTTATTTCCTTTAATAATAGGATTTTAAGTTATGCATACATTATTTTCAATTAATTAGTTTACTTATTCATTTATTGGAACTGAATTCTTTTTTCTTTTCATTTCAATCATTCCAACTACTTTATATTTATTATTCTTTAATCCTGGAGAATATAATTAACTTGGTGATTATTACAAAAAGTGATTATATCTATGTTTTGATATTGATATCTTTTTTTTCTCTTTCTTCGATGGTGATGATATAAATGCATTTTTAGGTATATTAACTTTATCCATATACTCATCAAACATTAATTCCTATACTAGTTATTGAACTGATCTGTTGCAGAAATTATGAGGTAACTAAAAAATCATAAAAATATATTTTGATTTTTATTATTTCATTGAGAAACTATTTGTATTATTTTTCATAACGAAAATTTTAGTTAAAGCTAGTCATTATTTTTGATTTATTTCCTTAAATTATTCAGGATCTCATTTATAATGTTTTGGTTTAATCTTGTTCAATTCCATTCTGAATTAATATTAGAAATTGAGACTTTTTTTATAATTCTATTTTGATATAATATATTATTCGATCTTAAAATTTCTTAATATTCTTGTATTTATTTAAATCTACATTTATACAGATATTAGAAAAAAATAGAATTGATTTCTATTAATAATTAATATAAAATAAATTATTATGTAAGATTTAAAATATGAAAATGAGGAGCTGAAATAATAATTAAAATAATTGCAAATAACATATAATTCATTAAAATAAGAACTTGAAGTATACAGAGTTAACATAAAACAATATGATTAAGAAAAATAATAATTAATGGAAGAAAAGAACAAATTAGAAAAATAAAGGAATTAAGAAAAACATAGTGAATTTGAAAAGAAAATTAAATTTCTCATAGAAAAATTGCCATGTCAGATATAAATGAAAAGTTTAAGGCAAATTTCATAATCTACAATTAAAATGGCAAAGGGTGTTTTACAAGATATAGCTTCCGCATATAAAAATGCATACAAATAGGATTATCATAAAATCTAAAGTGGCAATTATTAATCTTTATTTGAGTCCTTTTATATAGTTGGAGTTAAGCATGAAAAGCTTGATTAAAATAGAGTTGATAAATTGAAACCCAAATTTTTATACAAATAATATAAAAATGATGTAAATCCAGAAGAAAGAAATAATTTAATGTCTGTTGAGTCTGACATTAAAGACATTTTTGAAAGTAATTTTTTATAAGTTGAAAAATTGGATAATGATTAGAAAATTAAAGAGAAAATTTTTGAGTATTCATTTATTTTATATGTAGATTTCTTTGTTAAAAAAATGAATAAGATTTGATGAATAATTTCTTTTTTATGAATTTGAGGGGTGTTGAGAATGTATTTGATAATTTTATTCCAAAAAATATGAAATTAATAACAGAAATTAATAACCAAAATTAATTATTTATGTTTGTATTAGGTGTTGACGATTTTATAACTAGTTTTATAGAAGATCGATTCAAATTTTGGAAAATTAAGAAATATTATTGTATTTTGACATATTTCCCTATTTTTGAGATATTTGAAAAAGTTTTATAATTTGTTGCCAGTATTTTTATATTTATTTTATATTAGATATCATTTATGCTTAAAGAATCAATTTATATAACTAATTGTAATAATAAGAAAATTAATATAGATTAGAAATATAATTTAAGTAAAAAATATATTCAGATATCGATTCTTTCAATATAATTCATGTATTTTATTTATTTAATATATTAGAAAGCTAAAGAAGAAATCTCAAGTTATTTATCAGAATTATCTAAACAATAACTCAGTTAAGATTAAATAAAGTTAGATTTTCATTTTTAAAGTAATTTACAAATCAAAAAAAATGAAAAACTTTAATAAAATCTTACTTACATAGTTACTAATGAAATAAGAATAACAAATATGCTTAAAGCTACACATTTAGTGATGTAGATTTTTTGCAATTAATAGCTTGGGTTTTTTAATATATTAGCAGAAGTTCTAAAGGAAGGATAAATTATATTTTGTAGCCAAAATAAAAACATTTTAGTCTAAGTTTGCTACTTCTTTCATTAAATTATTTACCCTTTTATTTATATCGAACCTGCTGTGTACTATACTTCAATAGATGTAGTAGATTAATTGTTAAAATAAGAAATGCCTTTTATTGTTGGAATAAATAATAGTTATAATCAATTGATATAGGATTTAAAAGGAAAAAATGAATAATACCTTTAATGTGATACTATAACAATTGTCGAATTGTGTAATAATATGACAGCTAATATTCACTAATTTACTCCTAGAGATACTCAATAAATAAAATAATTATTTTCTGATAATCGATTTTAAGATATTTTTAAAAATTATACACCAACCTCAAAACTTTAAACTGAGAAATGTTAAAATTTGTTATCAATTATTAAGAGTAAAATAGAGAAAGATTGTTTATTGATTCTACCAGATCAAAATCAAAATTAAAATTTTGTTTCCAATAATTAATTGAATACTGCACTTATAAAAAAGTTTATGAATGAAAATCTTATTAACAATAACAATAGAGCTTTTATCATGTAATATATTTTTTATTCCACATATTTTTAAACATATTTGAAAGATAAGTACAATTGTAGCTTTGATTGAATTATGAATATTTAGAATTAATATTATTAAAATTAATAATGAGCTCTGAAAAAGATTTCCAATATGATATTCATGATGTATAAAATATAAAAACTGCCTTTTTGGATTTACAACAAGAAGAGAGTACTGGATTTAAATTGGGATTTGGTACAGCTATATTATCTTACTTTGTTTTTAGAAGATTTACATATTTAAGAACAGGACCAAGGTAATTATATTCATTATACTATTTAAGATTTGTTGGATCAATGATCCTAGGCTCATAAGTTTATGGATTCTACACTCATAGATCTAGAGCTTATTATGATTATGTGGCTCAATAAGTAAATTTGCATGCATCAGAAGCAATCAATCAATGCCTTGGACATTGACTTTAAAATCATTTATCATTAAAAAACACAAAATAAAATAGAAACTCTATTCTGAAACATAATAAGAACTTAAAATCATTTTTTTATATTTACGACTTTTATTCACTTTGAATAGAGTTTGTATACGAAGTGACTTTAACTAATGAAATAGAATTCTATAAAGTGCTTCCTCCCTAATTTTAATAGAATTAAGTTGTATCTATTAAATCAATTTGGTGTTCAAATATCATGAGAATTTTTTTCAATTTTACCTTAACTCTTTAAAGCGATTTTTTATTCAGTTGATGAGTAGACATCAAGCGGTAGTATCAAATTGATTTTGAGTATCTTGAAATTCTATCTTAAAAGGCCCTCTTTCTAATTTATGAAAAGTTGTTAGTTGAAAATTATGAAGATTTTCACAGGAATCCTGTAGATTAATCTCTTCCTCTATTTTGAATGCATAATAATCATTATTAACATTAACAAAGATATTATCATTTTTAAATTCATTTAGTTTCAAAGCTTGTTAAATGAAGTTAAATAACTCTCTTCTAATTTGTTTTTTTTTTCTTAGTATATATTAATCAAATTTTTCATGGTTAATAAATTTAATATGATAACTTAATATATGTTTATAT